CGTTGATGTTTCAGTTTTGTACTGGGTAAGGTGAAGGGTGGTTCTGTGTCTTTTACTGACAAATGTCTTCTCGTGGAGAAAGGGCTGCACAATTCTTCAAGATTTTTCTATACTCAAAGATGTGCACAAACTTGTAATTTTTTTTTTTAATTTTCCATTTTAAGCTCGTAGGGATTCGCAAACCTTAATTAAATCAAAACAAGTTAGGGGAAGAAAAAAAGTAAGATTTCAAGGATCAGGATCTCTTTACCCTGCATGTAAAATAATAATGATGGCTCACTCCAAAACAGAGTTTTTCACCAGCTGGTCATGTAACTAGCAGAGGATAAAGTTGCATGAAATGTGGATGATGTACAGTTACCAGGCTCTATGTGCAATGTTAGTCTAACAGACTCCTGGCATGCACCGCCTAAACTTTTTGGCAAAAGGTTGTGTCTTGTTACCGTTAATGCAAGTCCTGTGTATTCTCCCTTAGGATGGGCTGTCGTTTGCCTTATACAGAAAGCTTTCAGCAACACCTGTACTGCAGAAACCTCCTTCCCTGTCAAGGGTTTGGTTTATGATGACTACAAACTAGTGATTGCACCTGAAATCCGAGATCTCGCTGCATGAGGATGTGCAAAAGAACTAGGAGATTTGAGGCACATGTACTAGGTTGTGCAGTGGGAACATCCCTCAGCCTTAAACAGGCGACTGACACCTTCATCACAAAAGGGAAAATTTTGATTTATAGCAGTGGAGATGATTTCATCAGTTAATGAACATGAGTTAAGTATTTCCCCTAGCATGCACCGATATTTGCACCTGTCATGTATTAAACAAGCTATATAATTGTAAAACTGACTTTACATTACACATGGCGTACTGCTTGGAGTACTTCTAACTTTGAGTGCTGAAATTAAGTATTTTCCATTATATTCCATTTCTGAATTGGAGCAACCAATGTACTTCCATTGATAAATACCACTTTCAATTACAGCAGCAGGCCTTGCAAGGAGAGCTCTAAAGGAGCAGCTCTGCAAAGCTGGCCCAGTGGTACAGGAATGGTAGTGGATGCTCTGTCTGTGCACTCGGGTGGCAGCTTGAGGCTAACTCATACCACTGCCACCAAGTAAATTAATTTGAAAATGTTAAGACAGAACTTCATTTCTGTCTCTTCAAAGCTGCCTGATATGCTGCTTCTAAAAGACGTGGCTTTTCTGCTTGAAAAAGACAGTAGATTGTAGCTATAACATGACACAATTATTTTGCAGAGGAAAAAAACCCCACTAATTAAGCCATGCAGTAGCAGTCATTGTCCGTTGCAATTTAAATAGTGAGTCCGAGACCTGACTGGTGGTTGTTTGCAGTTAGGACCAAAAGCCAGATGGACAAAGGCATGCAGCATTGATTAGTCTTGATAAAGAGCTTTGAAAACTTTGTGAGAGCAGTGCAATGAAAGTGCAAAACCACTAAAAATAATTAAAATTTGAAAATAAAAATTGTTCTAGGAATACAAACATGTAATGAAAAAAAAGGTCTTTAAAGTTATACTGTTTTTAAAATCTGAATCACTTTGCTCTCGTACAGTCCATGCTCTCTTGCAGTCCCGATCATAACACTGAGCACACTGTCCGTTTCTTTTGGCGCTTGGCTTTTTTCATGGCATTCAGTGCAATGGTTGTTGCTTCTTTAAAAACATTTTCTATGTTTTCACGACACTTTGCTGAGCACTCCAGATAAACTTCTGCATTAATCTGCTGACAAGCTGCTTCACCCTGGAAAGAACAAAAGGTAAGAAAAGATGTAAACTCAATGTATGAGAAAGAAGGTGAGGTGGGCAAGAAAGGGAATTATTTTATACATCTTTGTATCATGAGGTCAGGAAGAAAGAAGCTGCCTCTGAGTATAGGGCTAGCGTGTAAGTGGCATTGGTAATAAACTGTGAGGCACTGTTAAATAAACTAGTTTTTTTTCCTCTGTGCCTGGCCTAACAGTTCAGTGCATTAGAGACTCTAAGATGCAGACTGCTGATAGTGTGAAAATATTCTCAGTATTAAATTTGTTTAAAGAAATGCTAGGGTAGATACTCAAGTGAGGATATGATGCCTACACAGGGATATTTTTTTCAGGCCTGACCTTAACTATTCTGTGATGTCACCTTTAGTATTGAATGTCACATGCAAAAGCAGAATCTGGACCAATGTCTTGCTGGTGCACATGCAGGAACCCTAACTTTTGCTTTGGAGCATCATGATGGCTCAGCCGAAATCCTCTTATACACAAATGGGTGTCTGTGTTTCCCAACCTCACCCAAATGCATGCAATGGGAACAGACTAGAATCTAAAACATTTGCATGCAATCCTGGTTGCGCGAAATCACTACAGACAAAACACAGTGACTTCTTACTTTGCTTCTGATCCTTTTATTGTCATCGCAGAGTCAGCCCCCAGTTTTGAACGCCTGTGAGCCCTGGAGTGTGAATTCCAGGTCTGCAACCCACAGCTCACAAACTCCGCATTTATTCATTATAAACCCTGGGAGTGGGGTCACTTGAGCACTCGGGCTTCTATATGGGGGGGGGGGTTCAGCATATTTAAGCAAAGTCTGTCTCCTTCCAGTTGTTTGCAAGCTGCAGTGCTGGCAGATACCATTCAGCTCCTTTGTGCCTGGCATTGGAAGCATCACGTCGTGTGACTCAAGATGCCGTCAGCTGTAAAAGACTGAGGTAGCGTATATTTAAGGGGAGAAAAACCAAGTGGGAGGGCTCACATAGGAGACAGAGTTTGTACATCATGTGGGCCCTGGAAATTAATTGCATGAGGCCTCAGCAGACTGGCCAAAAGTGTCTGTTGCTTGCCCTGAACCTCATGTGTGAGTGTGATGAAGGGAGTTACTAATGCAAATGAGGGACAATCTGCAGTTGTTCACAAAGCGACAGGACGGGCATCTCATCTTGTGCGCAAGGAAGACAAGCTAAAAGTCCCAGCGTGGTTTAGTGGTGATGCAATTGCAGTTTCTTTTCATGCTGTTTAGAAGAAGTAGTGATTCATTCAAGGTCTTGGTGCACTTAACCTTGTTCTCCGGACTTGTGTCTCAAACAGTTCGAAAGCTGCTGTTCTTGCTCTGTGATGAGAGAAGGGTGGCTTTGTAGTTTAAAAAAAAAGAGTGGAAGACCAGAGCAGAAAGGTCTTGTGTGACATGGAACAAGCTGTTCCACCACTGACTGTTTCTCCTGTACCTAGGACAGCTATGCCTGTCTTGTAACGCTAGTTGTAAGTCTCACTGCTTTGTAATACTTAAATTGAAAACATTTGATAATATGTATTTTTTTAAGATTACTTTAGAGACTTCAAAGAAAAGTCTCTTATGTTAGAGAAGCCTTGCAGATGCTTTTGCTATTGTCCTTGAAAGGATTTATTTT